AAGAGGGCAAAGCGATCTAAGAAGGATGAGGCCAAGGGTGCGGAGGACACTGCACCCAAGAAGTCCAAGGAAGCCAACAAGACTGAGCCTGAGGTGAAGGAATCTGCGCCCAAGAGGGCAAAGCGATCCAAGAAGGATGAGGCCAAGGGTGCGGAGGACACTGCGCCCAAGAAGTCCATGGTGGATGAGGCTGAACCTAACAAGAGTCCCGACAAGAAGCCCGCAGATGGCAACAAGCGCAAGAGCAGAAAGGGGCAGGACAAAGCGTCAACTTGGGCAGGGCGCTGGATTCCTTCAGACCCCATTGCCCTCTCAAAGTTCCAGGCCATTCAGTCCATTTTCAACGAGTGCATTGCCCCCAAAGTGAGGTCCCAGTCGTCGCTCCAAAGCCCCTTCTTCAAGGTTTGCAACTCTGCATTCAAAGCCTTGAGTTCCACGGCGAAGGATGAGGACTACAAAGCATGCGCTAAGCTTCAGGTGGAGAAGTTCATGGCGGACGAGCAAGTGCGTGCCTGGTTTAGAAATTTGGAATCCAACTATTTTGTTTCTATTCAGCTGATGCCCAAATCATGGAAGACAAATAGTTGAAAGACCCTGAAAAGAACATGTCAATCAACTACTTTCAAACTAGTGAATCTCACCCTTTGCCATTGCTCGCATGCATCCAAGGCAAGAAGCTTCTTGCTGAGGGCAGCTGATTTTGTGAAACATCTCGAATCTTGCCGTGGGGTGTCGGCAACTGATTCGATACAAGAGCTCGTGTCTTGGGACACCATACAGTGGTTAGGTTGCCTTAGAATGCGCCAGTAGCAGCAAAGTGGCAGTCCTGGCCACATCGGAGTTGTGCTGCGGGATAGAGGCATTTGCCCACCTGCAGTTGAAAGACTTTGGTTGTGTCCCCGTGAAAATGTACAGCAAATCGCAGGGTCAGTGGCAGGGTCCTTTTGCAGTCCTCTCTGGGAAGGCCTTTCATAAATGGATAATTTCAGGGCCTGTCTGTGGTTGAACAGAACGTCACACTTTGAACAAAACCCCTCCCGTTGTCCTGCATTACCCATCCAGTCAAGTGGATTCAAGTGCCACCTTGGATTTGTTCTCGAATCCAAAGCCG